ACCGACGCCGGCGACTCTGGATCGCGGGTACAAAGCGAATCCCGGCCCTTTTTGATCTTACGCAGTCGAGACACAAAGACAACCCCCTTTTTAAGCGGAGCACGCCGGATTTTTCTCTGGCTGGGGTGTGTGCCAATCTCAATGCGTCGTCCTACAACAGAAGGGTGCAGAATTACTTACGTTCGATAATGGCCCCTCTCTACGGTCGGCCACTACACGTCGCGCACGATCGATATTGTTTTATTTCGCAAAATTTCTTCCTTTGTCTTTTCTCCCCACCTATTTGTATTTCTTTTTCTTCTTCTTTTTTTTTTTGCGTGCGTGTACGTAAAAATTTCTCTCTTTTTTTCTTTTAGATTCAAATCAATCCGAACGAAACGAATTGCTCGAGAGAAAGAGAGAGAGAGAAAGAGAGATCAGTCCTCGGAGCAATTAATTAGCGCAGAGACGTAACACTCGAGTTGGGAAGAGGGCGAAAGTGATTCGCCCGGAAAGATCGAGCGTTCTCGCGCAAACAAACCGTGGAGCCATTATCGGGATCCTTCACGAATTTACTGGCCCTTTCGTAGCTACAGATGTCGGAGGGGAGAGCTTGTACATCAATCTGTTCACGACCGGTATAACTCGGTTTATTCACGTGCCACGATCACTCTGACCATTCGAAATCCCTACCCGGCCCACTACTTAGAAGAGGACAGAGAATGAAAGACAAAGAGAATAAGAAAAAGAGAATAAGATTTGTAGAAATTCTTGGAGAAAGGGAAGTGCAAAGGTAAACGCGGGGTTTCCTTCTAGAAGCAAATGCATGTAATTGAAATTAGTTAGATTAATTTGGTTCACCTTTCAGCATCTATGTATATAAGCAACCCCTTTCAGTCCAGCCCTCGAGATCCGTAAGCCCCTTTCAGAACAAAACGAACGTGCTCGATTTAATGCGGACAGTAGGCTCTGTAGGTGTTGTTCTTCGTCCAAGATTGTCCAAACAATCCACGCAGATTTGTTGGAAACGAGACCAGAGGGGGCGAACAATCCCGAATAATGCCGGTGTCTACTAACGAAGTAATTTTAGCCGAGCGCGTATGCGTATGATCGAAGAAGAAGAAGAAGAAGAAGATATTTCCTGGTCGCTACAAAATTTCACGCTGCTTTCCCCAAACGAACTGAAAATAGTCGGCTACTTATTTCTGGAAGGATTACCGCGACCAACGGCTGACGCAAGAAACTGGAGAGACCGACGAGAGAGAGAGAGAGAGAGACCTTCGTCACGGAAAGACCAGTTTGTCAATGAGCCCAATTTAGATTGTAAATCAAAGCGTCTACCATATCGTGTACCATGACGTGTACACGTGTATTTCGGGATCACGATTTTGAGGTTAGGAGACTTTTGTTAACCGACTGTAGGACATCATCCAACAATATGGTATTCTGACATTGAATAACCAGCGTAAATAGTTCCGCACGATAATCGATCGATTAACAATGCCAGCTGAAATTGAAATAAGCTGCGAATTGTAGATTATAAATTTAACTTTTGGACAAAACTAGCAAAAGCAGTTTGTTTAACTAATGTGTAATATTATTGATAAATTATCATAGATGTTAACTTATCAATTAATGATATTAGCAAATTGGAATAAACTACAAAAATTATAAATTATAAATTATGATGTATTGATAAATTATCATAGATATTTATCAATCAATGGTATTAGCAAATTGAAATAAACTACTAAAAATTATAAAATATAAATTACAATGCATTGATAAATTATCATAGATATTT